TAATGGGGGTTGAGTTATCATCAGCATAAATCCGGCAAAATAGAGCTCCACACTAGGTCTGACTCGCACTTGAAGGTTTGGATCGATTGATATAACACTACTGTTGCCGGAAGCCGATCTCAAGCAGGGACTAGGCAATTTGAGAAGAAGTGGTGCCTTATTTGCAGTCGGCTTCTTGTCCGCTCCAGACTTTATGGATGTCCATGAAGACCTCTATNTTGGAGGATTGTTTAGACTCCTGGATATTTTGAACATTTCAATCAAACTCCTTGTAGTCTGTCTTTCGAGGGAGAAGTTTAGTGCTAAGAGCCTTTTTCTGTAGCTCAGCTGCTTCATTCATCATACCATTCTGGTAGCCAGCTTTTGAACTTCTTCCAGTTTCCGGATATACTTACGGAGAAATGAGGCCCACGCTTGAACACAGTATTTAAAGTGAGGACGGATGGAGGCTGCATATAACGGGATGAAGACTTCGGCGTTTCTGTTCGTTACGGCGGTTTTAAGGCAGTAATGCTTTACGAGCCCTTACAGCTGCTGCGTCGTAAGCCGCAGATGGGGTGAACTTGCATGCTGCTCTAACCCCTAGGTCTGTCGTACTGCTTTTCGACGGTATGGGTTCCGGAATTCCAAGAGGGTTGGTGACGAAGATTGAAGGACCTGCGGCACCTGAAGGCATGTAGCTCTTCAGCCCGTTGAGCCAAAGATCCCACTTGGCTGACCATTCACATATTTTGTGGATGTCAGGTTGGGTGGTGTGTAGTTGGCTGCTGTTTCCCACCAGCTCAATGTCGTTAGCATAGAGAAAACAGGGATGTTCAAGGCCTTCGGTGATATCGTTCACGAAAATGAGAGAGTAGAGGCGCNAGTATTCGAGTGGGCCTCTCGGACTTTGACGGTGAATGAACGACCGGAGATGAGCTTTTCTAGCCACTCGCAAATGGTCTTGGAGATTCCTACTTTTTTAGGTTTGAAGCTCAATAGTCGGTGATTCACGGAGGCGAAGGCTTTTCGAAACCTAAATAGCATACTTCGACCTGGACGCCTCTGTTTAGTCTGTCCGCGATAACGTCCAGGAAGACTAGGTAGGATTCGCCCTTTAACAATCCGTGCCGCGCGTCGCTGAAGAAGCCTTTTTTCAAAACAAAGGAGCATGTTGTGTCTAGCAGAATGTGCTCAAGCGATTTAGTTATCATAATGGTTAGGCTAATTTGTCTGTAGTTTGATATTCTGGACCTATCTCTGTCTTTAAAAACGGGAATAATGGTTGCTTTCTTCCAGTCTGAAGGTATAGCACCCAGACAGAGAGACCTATTGAATAGGGAGGCTAGTTCGGGGCTTAGAAAATATCTGAGGTGTATGATGACGGAAGGATGGGCATCATCAGTACCGGAGGATTTGTTTGAATTTAGGTTGGACAAGGCCCTAATTACATTCTCTGAGGTAATGAAAACCTCAGGCATATCGAATACGTGGTTTTTGGTGGGCTGATATAGGTTACTGTTGCTTTTGTGCAGCTCAAGAAGTACAACAGAAAGGCGTCGGCGATTCGCTCGTCCTGGGTTAGTGGGTTATCTTTCACTCGTAGTACGTTGCTAATCTCTATCCTTGTAGAAGATCTTGCTTGTACGTAACCGAAGTAACGATTTGGATTCAGTTTGCCGTCTCATGCCATGCCAAGTTTGTATGCCTGTCTAGCCTTCCTGGAAATCTTGATATCGTGGTTTCTCACAAGTTTGTATCTTCTATATGAGACAAAACGCTTAGGATGTATGTGCGATTTCTAAGCTAAACGTTTCCTCTCCAGGACATTACGGACCTTGGGATTCCACCACGGCTTATTGCTAAGACGGTTTCCTAACCCCAGAAGGACGTGCTTCTCTGTTAGAAAGGTTAACTTCCTAAGCAAGAGAGCTCATCTATCCTCTACGTTACATTTACTCAACCCTTCTGTCTCCCTTACGCTGTCAAGTAGTTCTCCTACCTTGGGTGCGTTGTACTGCGCTTTGCTGCTGACCTTTTGCCTTGTAGATGGGTCCATGATAGCCTTGGTTATGAATTGCGGCCTCAACTAGTTCTTGTTTTTGTTAGGGATTACCTGCCCCAGCTTTGTTAGACGTTGTTTATGTACTATCGTCACCCAGGGACTGTCGTGTAATGGGGTCGAGTGAGGGCTTGGTTCATTCGATGGTACCTATTCTGTCCGCAAAATTTCAAGGGAGACGCGTTTTGGTGCAA